ACCTACAGTACTTTCAGATCTTCTGCATGTTACCACGTTTATCCCTTTATATTTACAGGGTTATGCATGTATTAGTTGTAAAGTGTTTTATTTGTGGATAAAATTCTGTTTGGTGTTTAATGATGATGAATGTGGTCACCAACTTGTATATTCCCAACTTTTCAGAAATCATGATGTAATAATCAAGTATATAAGTAATTATAAGTAGTAATAGTATAACGATATATTGGTACTCAAACGAAAATGTCACAAGGAGCAGAAAAACGACTATTAGTCATTTGTCTATGCTGTCTATTATGTACCCTGTACCATGTCATAATTAAGTTAAAAATGTTAGCTTTCATGATCATTGGAAATTACCAGCTCTGTGAATCACTTCGAGTTTGAGTTCCCATATATCAGTACAATACTAACTATTATTTTCACAGAATGTAGCCTTAAATTTAATTTAAGGCAATATGCAGCACACATTCAACAAATATTGTGTAAACATTGTATATATCACATGTGACCCGTATTGAGCACATCGTGACAACCACTGCCTTTTAAATTAAATTTCTTCAACCTTATACATTGTAGTGTGAAATGTCCCTAGACACAAGCTCGTCTTATCTTCTCTCCTTTTGTCTTTTCTACAGATGTCATGGGCCCAGATGAGTACCAGCGAAATGTCAATAACTCAGCGTACACTAATGTAATAGCCAAGCTCAGTCTGATGCTGCCGTACTACGCTGGCAAATTCATTAACACAACTGTACCAAAGATACAAAACTATTGCAGATAAACTATATATACCGTTTGACAAGGAAAACCAATATCATCCAGAATATGATGGCTATACCAGAGGTAGGATTACAATCTTACTTTGTGATAAATTACTGCAAGTCTTGGAAGTAGCAAACTTTGCTCACTAATTTGCTGAAAATGTGAATAAGCAGGTAGGCTACTTGAGTTGATGGGGTCAGCAAGTGTTCACACCCATTATGGACCAATCCATTTTGCAACAAGAATGGACAATAGAATACTAAAACTCCAATTACATGTGTACTGTAAAAGGATTAATTGTTCACTGGGTTTTAATTTTGCTTATTTCGCTGACTGGAAAATTAAAACCCAGTGAATATGTAAAATTTAGCATAGAACACATTATCTAAATAATAAAACCGTTAACTTAAAACCCAATAAATATGCCTGAAATGCTAAATCAGCGAAATTTAAACCCAGCGAAAATTAATCATTTACAGTCATGATCAACTTTTGTAACTATTCACAACGAATTTTAATCAAGACCTGAAACTAACAGGAAATTATGTCCGTTTGGTTCGAAATTAGAGAAAATATATAAAATAGTCAAAATGTTGCACCAATATCTCTGCAGACAAAATTATAGCACTCAGTGTTAAAGAGATATTCTGCATACTCCTTAGGCCTTCATTAACTTTAAAATTGTGTTTCGTTAGTTACTTGTAATTGGCAACAACAGAAAGAAGGACTGTGTCTCTGTAAATCGATTTTCAAAATGCAGCTGTATATCAAATATACTAAAGTGATTAAAGATGCAAAATAGATGTGATCTTGTAATTAGGAGTGTTGTTGTTTCATATTGATAGATACATTGGACTATGATTTATCATGAGATTTATCATGAAATGAAAACGTCTTTCTTGTAGCACACATCTTAGTGATTACTCTATGTAACAATGAAATTCTTAAATATGCGCGTGCATGCATTATTTTGGTATATACAATAAAAATCACTGCATCTGTGGATTAGTAGTTTTAATTTCCTGCAATTGCACATTTTTAGTTTATGATGAATTTGGTATACAGTATGGAGTATTGAACAAATATACATGTTTTCATTCATATTAATTGTTGAAACTATAGGCCCACCTGCTTAGTTAAAACATAAGCTGTTAAGAATGTAGGAGCAAGTTTGTTGTACCAACACTTCTAAGACTTGCTGTAATATTAGTAATGCCAGAGATTTATAAGTGTATGCATTTGTTGTGAACAAAATGAAAAGATTTTCTTGAAGTCACGTGAATGGGTGATTTTTCGTTTACTATGAGATTTTGCGTAATGTGTGAAAGACGCAGATCAAATGTCTGCCGCAAAAATCAAATGATTAGATTTTGAAATTGAATTTTATAATTCAATGTCGAAATACTTATCATTGATATGGGAGCATATCATTGAGATCATCATCATCATCAAATGTGTAAAGCACATTATTAGTCGTGGAAATACCCAAAAAATATTTCTCGTTTGTCGAAACAATGTTTTGACACCACTACGCCACTATGATCATTGTTTGTCCTGTTTTTACGTTCGATTTCATGCATAATGCTGAATCTCATAGTGAACGTCTATTAGGAAGTGATTACAAAATTGTGATGGAAACATATTTTCAATGCTTTGTAAGTGAGTCAGTATTATTTGAGTTTATTTAATACTCAACACATATTAGAAATGGATGCCCCTTGAAAATATTGCTACATTGTGTTTTATTTTTTTTTAGGAACCATTGTGAAGCAAGCCGATGTTATTCTGTTAGGTTTTCCACTTATGTACAATATGACGAAAGAGATTCGTAAAAACGATTTGGCGTACTACGAAAAATACACTGATGACCATGGCCCAGCCATGACATGGGGATTGATTGCAGTTGGTTGGTTAGAACTAGGAAATGTTAGTAGAGCAAATGATGTCTTCAATCGTAGCTTTACAAACATACAAGAGCCGTTCAAGGTAAAAATTATTAAATACAGTGAAATGTGCTTTTATTGTTGTATTTTATAGTGACGAAAAACTTCTTGGCATTGATGTTTTTTTACAGAACAAAAATTAACAACCACTATGAACAAACATACAATTCATGCATCATAATCTGATTAGTTTTTTTAGTGACTTTAGTAATGAATAGTCAAATCATAGCTTTCAAATACAGGCATTACTTATGAATATTCAAATCAGCTTTCAAATACAGGCATTACTCATGAATAGTCAAATCATAACTTCCAAATACAGGCATTACTCATGAATAGTCGAATCATAACTTCCAAATACAGGCATTACTCATGAATAGTCAAATCATAGCTTCCAAATACAGGAATTACTCATGAATAGTCAAATCATAACTTCAATACAGACATTACTCATGAATAGTCAAATCATAACTTCCAAATACAGGCATTACTCATGAATAGTCAAATCATAACTTCCAAATACAGGCGTTGCTCATGAATAGTCAAATCATAACTTCCAAATATAGGTGTTGCTCATGATGTTCAAATAAAATTACAATTATAGAATCTGAAAACTGAATTAAAATCAAATGAGTATGGTTAAAATTTTGAAATTAAATACCAGTATGTGCATTTACACTATTTTTAGAGTGTGTTTAGAACACATCCAAAGAGTGGGAAAGTGGTATTATCTTCAAATTATGTTGAATATTCATTAATAAGATTTCAGATTTATTGATACGATTTTCTTGACTGCCTAGGTATGGTCCGAAGTATCTGACGGAACTGGTGCTGTTAATTTCTGCACAGGGATGGGAGGTTTTTTGCAGGCTGTCTTATTTGGATATGGTGGCTTTCGTTTGTATCCAGATTACTTGGAATTCAATCCTGTATTGCCTCCAGCAACTACAAGATTCAATATCACCGGGATCGATTATCTGGGATCATCCTTGGATTTTGTAATCCTGAATGACCTAGTAACTGTCAATATGACGGAACATTCTGTCGGGTATCCAGATTTAACATTAGTGTTCAAGGGACAGAAGACTATGCTCGAACCAGGTAATATTACTTGAGGCCTCAGACTGCAACTAAACTCCCCACAGACAACACAATAAAAATATGATCAGAATAGTTGTTTTTTCACACACAACCAATGATCCAAAAAATTAAAATCAAATCAAAATAGTAGTGTATGTGTTTACGT